GGGGGAGATGGATAGACAACTTTATAACACTATTCTAATACAAGGCGTTAGAACGAAGACAGACAATGCTATAACACTATTCTTATGAACTGAGTTGTACATGGTGATCCAAAAAAACAACGTTACAACTTGTTTTGTAAATATCTTCCTCCATACTGAAGTTTAGCGTTTCAGATTTGAACATAACGTTTGGAAGCCAAAAGGAATTTGTCTGATATGTATTTTAGATAAGTCCATGGAATGCTTTTTCTCTATATAACGCATTGAAAAAACAACCCATTTTCAACCTTGTCGCCATTTTCATAGCATCAAGCACCAGTTTGCATTAGGCCTACCACTAAAAGTTGCAACAATCGCACCATATTGCGAGCTACAGCAGTCTAACTAGTCAACAGAAGTCTGCAGATATCATTTTTCCCAAATTTCGTTTGCCTGCTTAGATCATGGTTATGTTTAGTAAAGTGCAGAGAGCTTTTTTGGATTGAACATAACCTCTCCACAAACTCACCATGAAGAGAATGCTTAGGTGCCCTCAAGACCTTTGGCTTCATGAGTAGAAAAGTTCCATCAATTTGGATCTATAGCAAATCAGAACTAAAATTTCTTTCTAAAAGATGACCTCTTCAGGTCGAGCACGCACCATGCGCAGCACTTTAAACGTCACCAGAGTGCAGATTTCAGTAACCGAGTCACATGAGACGTCTGTCCGTGGATAATCAGCAGCTTGGACTTTCCTACACATCAACAGTCTGCATTCTCATGGCAGATCTTAACCTTCGACTATACCATGTTCATCTTCGCTAGGCCGAGATGACATGGATCAGAGCATGGCAATGTGTTCATGATTCCTCGATTGTCTTGTAAAGAGGGATCATTTCCTTGATGACAAACGTGCAAAGCCCATTTTCACCTTGCGGGATATGTTAACTCCAAAAATGCTGTCTATTGAGCACCCCACTTTATTGTCTCTAGAAGCCACTTCTTAATGAAAATGTACAGTGTATGTGGCTTTAAAAACTCATGGTTTAGCAGGTCCTCGTGTTAGGGCACCACTGAACATTTCGAACGACGCGTTAAAAATGTGGCGAGTCCAAAGGAGGGAAAGTGGAGCACTGCTTCTAAGAATTTCAGAATGAAATCATTAGGTTTTTTAAACTTTGTAAAAGAAATTAAATATTGTTTAAATGTCACAGGGAAGGAAAATTAATGTCAAAAAGAAAATAAAGAAAAAGGTCAACTAATCTTTTCACGACTTCCTTTACAAGATTTTGAAACATTGGTGAACTCTGCGTTTTTGGGTGCTTTTTTCTTTTAGCCGTTTCCGTTTTCAAAACAGTTTCTTCTTCGTGGATTTGATATTAAACAAATTCTTTTTGAATGAATTATGTCTGTTCCAAATTACAGAATTACTAGAACAATTTTTGCGCGAGATATTCAGAAAAAAAGTTGTAAAGTATATATTCAATGCCCCTTTCATCACTGAAAGGTTATTATTTTAAGAGACGGAACCTCCGAATTGTTCGCCCATCTCCGATAGGACCAAGCCAAATGTATGGAAAGTCTTAACACTCTCCAAAAAACCCAATCTCAAGAACGCTTACCTCGTGATCCGAACCAGGGCCATTTGCTCAAAGATCCAGTTTGATACCAACTTAGCTAATGAGGCACCTAGAACTTATTTGACTGTATGATAGCAGGTGCAAGTCATCAAGATTGTTGAGGTGTGCACAGGTAGAAGTGTTTGCATTTTGTTTTGTTTTGTTTTCCTATTCTTAAAAGTCCTATTCTGAAATTTCTCTGGGCTAAGTCTTAAAGTAGGTCAATTTCATGTATAGGAGCAGTGACGTCATGGCTCGACATTGGTCGGTTCATCTTCTGGAAAACCAGTGAGCGTGTGTGTGTGTGTGTATGGGCATGGGTGTGTTTGTGTATGTGTGTGTGTGTGTGCGTGTGTGTGTGTGTGTGCGTGTACGTATGTGTGTGTGTGTGTGTGTGTGTGTGTG